AGATAATTAGCGATCTTCGGCTTTATTGAATAACCCCATCTCACAGGTATATAACAGCAGAAAGGTACAATTTAAGAGGTTGACGGGCGGTTTCTTTATGACCTTGCCGAGAAGGACCATGTGATGCAGTGGAAATTGAATCAACCGGCTCCCTTTCTAAGTTTAATCCCTCCAGCCTGATCATACTAAATCTTCATCACTTGGCTCAGGTAAATGATTTTATCGACATCTTCAGTCTTTTTCCCGTGAAATATTGCCTTGGCTTTTGGCAGGATATCCGGCTGCAAATTTTTGTTCCAACCGGTTGGTTCTCAATGTGACTTCTGCACTTATTATGTCGAGCCTGAGATGTTGAATTCGGTTGGTCAAGAACAACGAGAAGTGGACAATTAATGTGCTAAAATCGTCGTCCCGTCAGCGGCTGAATAACAGTTACTCATTTGGTAGTTAATCAGAATTCGTGGTATTCAATTTCGGCACATATGCAGGTTCATGAGAATTCACATCCTCTCGACAGGACAAATTCACCAGTCTGGTGAATATTCGTCGCTCCGAGTAGCGGTGACCAAAGCATTTTAAAATACAAAGTAAACTGTACTGCTGATGTATGCCAGTGTCCGTTTGGTATTAATGACAAAGCATAAAAACATCAATATGCTATAAATTTCCATTATGGAATGCGGAGTGCTGCAATACTACTCGTCAACAGTCCATCCAAAAGGAATCACTTTGCTGCATCAGCACTTGGAGAAGCCGAATCTCTAGGAACCCAGAGATAGGTAAATTTTAGAACAATTGTTTCATGCAGTCACATAGTTCTCTTCATTTCCGATGAGAGAATCCAGAAAAAACAGTTGTCGGTTCCCTTTACAATCAACAGGCATACTGAGACGTGAAAAGAGACGGGCCAAGCATCCAATTTTGGAAGCGTCGGAGGCTACATGGCGAAATGCTTACTGCTGTAGTGTACGATTCGTGCAAACTATATTTTAGGAGTGTAAACTTCATACGCTTTCAGCCTGTGAGGCTTGATTAATTTTTTCTGTGTTCTGTAAGGGTGCATCTCTTAATCTTGCAGTTCATCCGTCTAGATTAATTTTTAACAACTGCTTGTAAATGAAAGTTTACTCAAACTTGCACAAATATGTGTACATGAAATCAATGACATAAAATGATGGCAATCATTAATAAAAATGAGTGTGTGTGTGTGTGTCATTGTCGTTTATTGTCTGCGCCAGTGACCGCAGTGCCTAAATTTATTAGGTCTACAGAAGGCAAACGGATTGGTATGATTTTTGGCTTATGCTTCCGCGAAGGAAATACTTCAAGGTGACTGCAGGCCAGCGTGAATTATATTTTTCCCGCTTCTCTGTTGGCCGCCAGGGCAAAGGCTACCATGAGTGAATTCCCATAAGAGAACCTGGTGAAACAGCAATATTATGCCATTGCTCAATGCTCTGTCAAACTGGGCGATTCGTCGTGTGACGTGGCACATAACATCTCGCAAGTTAGTGGCAGACAATGCTTGCCGATTCGTTATTAGATTGCACCAATTAATTCTTAATAGGCACTGCAAACAGCTTTAATGAAAGGCACTTAATCGAACCTCATAGGCTTTTAATTAGATTACTGTTCTCTAAGCCGCATATAATAATTCGGAGGACCGAGGAAGCATAGACCACGACCGTTGTTATCAGGCTTATGCTCTGCTGATGCCAAATTTTCGCTAAGCTGGCAAATGTTGCTGCCTCCACTGCAATTTTCCTGCTCAATTCAACGTCACAGTGGCTGTCGTTGGTAACTGTTGAGACTAAGTACTTGAAGCGATCACTTTCACCCAGTCTACATGCAGTGAATGTGAGATCTGTCGCCGCAGTTCCTTGAGCGTTCCTTAGAAGTTCGGTTTTCAGTACGTTGAATCAATGGCCTACTCCTTCGGCAATGGTTTGAACAGATTCTGTTAGGAACCGTAATCCATGTCTGGTTCGCTTAATAGGATGAAGTCATCGGCGAGGTCTCATTCTGTGAGGTATGCGGCTGGATATCTTGTGATGCGCCTTCTACCTAGCATTAGTCCATTTTCCGCATGATGATCAATGCGACGTTGACCGGATTACAACCGCTGCTTCTTCCAATTGAAAATAACAGCTGCGGTGGTTTGGTCATGTTGACGAATACTTTCGGAAGGAAGGCGAAAAATACTATTTGCCTAACTGACCGACCGATGACCCCGTGGGTGGCCAAGAATATCCTTAGGCAAGTGTAGCCAATAACTCTGCTCCAGTGTCAGGCCTCTTCTACCGAAGCTCAAACGCTGGCAGAGGATCGAGAATGTTGGAAACTTTCTGACGCTTTGCCTGCACGATTCGCGAGCATAAACGTTCAGGGGAACTGACTGATCAGTTGAAGTTGGGATGGTTTCCAGAATACACCTTTTTCTCATTAGTCTGTAATGACTATAAAACATTACTTGTCTGACATTAGTTGTATGAAAATATGAAACAGAAGACTTGTTAAATGTGCAG